TTTGTGTTTTCTTCAAAATTCTGATATTTTGTATTTCTTCATGTTTTGTATTTTATTTGTTCAAATTTAATTCTGATTTTTATTTAATTGAAAATTCTGATTTTTGTATTTTTTCAGGTTCTTTTCTTTTTTTATGTGTTTTTCTTAAATTCTGATGTTAATTATCTAACAGTTCATCTATTCTCTAGTTGATCTTTTGGGTTATCTCTATATTTAATAAAATACTTGTACTAATTTACAATTTATTTTTATTTCCGTGACCCATCAAAAATTTATTTATAATTTATTTTCTTTTATTAAAATTGGCTCCAATCCCCCACCGTCCCAGGAGAAAACACACACAAAATTTAAGCAAATTTATTTTTATCGGAGGGGAGAGAAAATAGTCACACAAAGAGAAGCACTTCTTCCCCTTTTTATTAAAAATACTTTTTAAGGATTAATTCTCAACAACAAACACACAAATTTGTGTGTTCGTTTTTAAAGTTTAAACAAACCTTTTATTATTCTCACTTGGGGATTAAATTTTTATTTTTAATTTCTGTTGCGCATGAATGCTACAAACAAAAATAAAAAGAAAAATATATTAAAAAGATGTTAAAATGCCGAAAAAGAAAATTCGCAACATTTATTTGTATTTTTATTTATTTTTTGACCATTTTTGTTTGCATTGACCAATTAGTATTAATATTCTACCCAAGAGATCAACAGAAGTTTTAATAATTCTGATATTTAATTTGAAAATCAGAATTAAGTTGTTAAGTTAAAAACCAGAATTTAATAAATAATTCAAAATTTTGATTCGTAAAAGAATTTTAAAAATCAGAATTTTAAAAATCAGAATTTCAGGAATTCAGAATTTTAAAAATCAGAATTTTTAAATATCAGAATTTTGACAAATCAGAATTTTTGGAAATCAGAATTTTTAAAATTCAGAATTTAAAAAATCAGAATTACAATTAAAATTGAAGCAAATCAGAATTATTAAAAACCAGAATTTAATAAAGAAACAACCCAGAATTCTGATAATTTTTGTGACACAAACAAAAATCAATTATAGAATCAGAACTTTCCATACTTTTTATTAAAATAGGTTAAAAGAGGAGGATGTACTTAGATTACTTAAGAAGGGTGTACTTAGATTTAAAATTTATTTTTAATTGAAAAAATTATTTCCATTTTCTTATTGTTTTCCTCTTCATTTCTTCTCCTTCCTCACAAATTTTTCCTCATTTTCTATAAAATACAAAAAAATTTTTGTCCTTGAACCGAATTCCTTTAGTGCGCGTAACAAACAAAATAACCGCTTTTTAATTTAATTTTTCCTCTCTTTACCTTGGCATTTATATACGTCCAATCTTTACATAAATCTCTTCAAATGATCTTTTCTCAATTATTCTTTGAAAATTATTACACTTACATACATATTTCTGATTTGATCTGAAATTTTGATTCTTCCTTTTATTTTAAAAAAAAATTCTGATTTCAAAATTCTGATTTCAGAAATTCTGATAAAATATTCTGACCTCAAAATTCTGATTCTAATTTACAATTCTGATAAAAATTCTGATCTGAAAATTCTGATTTTAAAATTTGATCCTGATTTCTAAATTCTGATAAAAATTCAGAAAATTCTGATAGAAATTCTGATTCCAAAATTCTGGTTTCAAAATTCTGATCCTGGAATTCTTATAAAAGTTCTGGTTCCAGAAATTCTGATTCTTGAATTTGACTAACAATACGTTCTGATTTTTTCAGAATTTTAATTTCTGGTTCCTTTTATTCTGAAATTAATTCTGTTTTGATTTTTATTTTCTGATTTCAATCTTCTTTTTACAATTTAATAATTTCCCATTATTATTTTTACAATTTCTGATTTTTATTTGTTTTTTTTGGTCGTTGTGTGCTTGCGGCCTTTAGAAGTACATTTATTTTTATCTCCCCTATTTTCTCTCAAATACGCGCGCTATTGCCGTTATTTTATTTTTTTTTGTTAGAAATTTTTCTCTTGGTTATCGCTTCCCCGGATCAGTTAAACAACCAAACTTTACATAATCTTTTTTTCATTTAAATTTATTCCCCTTTAATTTTTTTCTTTCCCATCGTCCCAATTCCGTTGTTTTTTCCATTGGAAAAATCGAAGGAATTTTTTATTTTTAAATTAACTAGCTTTTAATGGTATCACGACTTTTGCGCCGAGAACATTTGCGCCGCGACTTATGCGCCGCGACTTTTGCGCCGGGCGACTTTTGCGCCGCGACTCTTGCGCCGCGACTTTTGCGCCGGGCGACTTATGCGCCGCGACATTTGCGCCGCCATTGTTTAGAAAATCCGGATCCGAAAAATGCCGGATATCCGAAATTTTCAGTTCGGATATCAGATCCGAAGATTTCCAACTATTCGACAACCCTACTAAAGTGAGGTCCGGCTGTAGTTATTGATATATTTTTAATGATAGTGGCGGCGCAAAAGTCGCCCGGCGCAAAAGTCGCGGCGCAAAAGTCCCCCGGCGCAAAAGTCGCTCGGCGCATAAGTCGCGGCGCAAAAGTCGCGGCGCATAAGTCGCGGCGCAAATGTTCTCGGCGCAAAAGTCACGGAACCAGGGCTGTGCGCCAAAATTTTCGCGTGGCGCGCCAAACGCCAAACGCCAATTTTTTAAATTTTAAAAACACGCCAAACGCCAAACGCCAAAAATCGGCCAAAATCAACGCCAAAACGCCAAACGCCAAACGCCAAACGCCAAAATTTTTAGAGTCTATAAAGACTTAAAAACCACTGTTCATTTCATTTTAGCGCCGCAGGCGAAATTTTTTGAATTTTCAAGATTCCCAGAAGCCAGAATTCATCCTTTTTTGCCGCCGGAGCGAAATTTTTGAGAATTTTGGAGGCAAAGATGCCGAAATTCATCCTTTAAAAAATTTAAAAAAATAAAAAATTCATAGAACTCCTTGAGATTAAGGTGGATATGAAGGGATAAAGGGAGTAATGAGTATAACAGAGGTCATGAAGAGAGTAAACGATTGACGGGACTAAAGTTTTTTTCAACCATCTATTAGTTTAAAATCCTCCTTTAAGCGCCGCAGGCGAAAATTTTGAAAATTTTGGAAGTCCAAGCAGTAAATTTCTTCATTTTTTATGCGCCGCAGGCGAAAATTTTGAGAATTTTGGATGACTGTACGCAGAAAAATTTCCTTTTTCGATAATCCCTTTCTCCATTTTTTTAAAAAAATTCCATCATTAGGGGTGTATATTTTTGGCGTTTGGCGCGCCAAAATCGGAAAATCACGCCAAACGCAAAACGCCAAAAATCGGCCAAAATTAACGCCAAAACGCAAAACGCCAAACGCCAAACGCCATGACGCACAGCCCTGCACGGAACCCTTTTAATTTAAAGAATTTATTGAGATTATTTAATACAAAAACAATAAATGACCGGAAATTTTGATTTAATTTTAATTAATTAATTAAATGGTCAACGTATTTTCTTTTAAATTTTGAACAGAAAAAATTTTTATTCTTTTGTTGCATAATTATTAATTTTTTAATTTTTATTTTTCCAATTTTCTATTTCTCGTTTTAAGCCCATTTAAGTAAATATTTATTTTTATATATTAACCATTATTAAGTGTGTTTGTGTTTTGTTTGTATGTTTTTGTGTTTGAAAACAAAAATCTAATTAATGTTTTTATTAAATTCTGATTTGTTTCTGTGTTTTTACAAACATGTTTTTCTTTCATTTTCTTAAGTTGTTCTGATTTTTATGTTTTTGTTAAATTCTGATTATTAAAATGTTTTATGTTTTCTAAATGTTCGTTTGATGTTTTTATTAAATTCTGATTTGGTTTTATGTTTTTACAATGTTTTTATTTAAGTTTCTTCAGTTGTTTTGGTTTTAATGTTTTTATTAAATTCTGGTTTGTTTTTAAATGTTTTAATTGTTTTTAGTTGTTCTGATTCTGATGTTTTTGGAATATTCTGATTTTTAAAATGTTTTGTTTGTTTTCTAAATGTTCGTTTGATGTTTTTATTAAATTCTGATTTGGTTTTATGTTTGTTGTTTTTCTCTCTTTTACAAACACAACAATTTATTTAACAATACAAACATACCAAAACATAATTTTTACCTTTAATTAATACACAAATTTCATTACTTACATTCCCAATATTTATTTAATCAATTAATTCTCTAATTAATTTTTTGTTTAAAATATCCTAAAAATAACCTCAAATCTCTTCAAATATCCCTAGAAATTTTTTTTCTCAATTTTTGTTTTAATATAATTAAAACGGGGAGGATTATTGAATAAACACATAAGTGGAGGGAATGAATACTTTTCTTTAAATTGAGGAAGACGAATTGGCCTTGGGGAGAGGGTTGAAGAGGCAAAATTGGGGGCAAATGTATAAATGAAAAAATATTATTTCGATTAAAATGTTTGGATGTTTTTCCTTTTTAAGACTTTTTAGACAAGCTAAACAATTAATTGATGTTTTTATTAAATTCTGATTTGTTTTTAATTGTTTTAAGGATGTTCTGATTTTTTTATTTTCTGATTTTTATGTTTTGTTTGATTCAGATTAATTCTGATTTTATGTAGAGAAGATTCTGTTTTGCTGTTTTATTTGTTTTTCTGATGCTCATTTAATGTTTTTATTAAATTCTGATTTGTTTTGAAGTGTTTTTAGTTTTTCTGATTTTGTTGTTTTTGGAATATTCTGATTTTTGTTAATGTTTGGGTTTCTCCCGTCTTTTCTACAAACACAACAATTTATTTAACAATTACAACAATACAAACAAACAATATAAATATTACAAACATAGATCTTTAGAGGAAACATAGAAATATATAAAAACACTTTTGGGTAAGTTTAGGGTGATGATACGTATAAAAATATAGAGAAAAACATTATTATTTTGACTTCTCTCTTGAACACCCTCATCTTTTGATTTATTAGTTTATCCTATCCTGAACACATTTGCTTCTTTTATAGTCCTCCCGTCACTTGCGCTGGCCAGCCTTCGTCTTCTCTTTCATTTTCGTTTTCTCGTCCACTTTCGACTTCGCTACAGTCGAGTCTCCTACTTTAACACTCTTCAGCGGATCAGCCTGAGAATTAAAAAAATTTTTTTTAATTTTTCGTATTCCCAACTACCTTTTTTTTATTAACCACAAAGCAGATGGATACAGCAACAATCATAGCAACGACAAAAAGCACACCACCGACGACATACACCCACACCATGTTATTGCTTGGAGGTTCCGTTGTTGTTGTCTTCTGTGTTGACTTTACAGTGGGTTTTACAGGGGGCCTTGTTCCTATAACAGGCGGTGTTTTTGGTTTGGCGGGCGTTGTTGGTGGGTCGGCAGCCAGAAGCATGTAATACTCCTTGTCCTTAAAGAAATTATTTTTTTACGAATAAATTTGAATTCCTTACAAATTCAATGAAGAGTTGCTCACACTTTGGACCCTTAGTTTCGCTATATTTCTCGACTCGTGCAGAGACTTGTGGAAGCAAGTAGAAGGTAAGTAGATATCTATATGCCGGATCGGCAGCTGGATTTGTCCCCGCGATTTTCCAAGTCACAGGTTTGGCAATGCCTTCTTCTTTGGCAAGGCAATGGAAGGGTTCGATCTTACTCCATCCAAACCAGTGTTTAATCCGTTGATTAGGATTAAACGTACTTCCTTCCATCGTTTTTCCATTCAAACTCATTACTAGTCCGCCTGCCCCTGTTATCTCCAGCTCAAAACTCATGAAGTCGCGGCCTTCTTGTAATATATACCAAGAATCGATTCCAACTAAAGAAGATAAATATGCTTTTAAAGATTCACTAGTCTTACATAAAGCAGTATGAGCATAGACTCCAGATTTTTGAGTCCTCCAATCAGTGCAATCGTTCCAACCAACAGTAAGAGGTGCCCATCGCATGCACCTGTATTTATCGCCATGTTTACAAGCCCAAAACTCAGGATCTCTACAAATCGCTGCATTATCTTCTTCTCTCTGACCTCCTTTAAACATGGCAATGTTATCCTTAGTTGTGTTGTAGCTGTAGGCGAAGGGAATGCTAAAAAGGAGTTAAAGTTAGATTAAATTATGGGACGAATAGACTAACAGATTATCTATAATGCCGTCAATAAATGTCCCTTTGACGGCTGGATCACAATCTGTCGCGCACTGCACAATTGGTCCTTTGTCTTTCACTACAGCTTTGAACTTGATCATGTCCTCATATTTGGTTAGCAAGTCTACAGCGCAACCGTTTTTCTTTGTGTTCTCGTTCTTGCTTGCGTTTTTTCCCCTGTAGTAGACCTCACTAAAATATTTTTCAAAAATTTGTAAGTTAAAACAGAGTAGAAACTCACATATTTCCATCGTCATCGATTCTAGCCTCACAGGATCCTTCGCGATCCGTGTACTTTTTGATGTTGTCATCATTGACAGTAATGGAGCCATCAGCGAGCGTGACTTGACCATCCTTCAGAGTGTGACCGTAGAACCCAATAGGGCCATTGTACTCACAGTTGACCTGTCTAAGCAGTAGAACGAAGAGAGTCGAAGCGAAGAGCGTTGGCAAGATGGTGGTAGCCGAGCGCAGAGTTGTCGAAGCCTTTCTCGTTCCAGATCCGTCGTCGAACCAGAAAAGCATGACGACTTGTCGTTGCTTGTAGAGAACGTCGATTGAAGAATTACTTTGAAGAAAGTTGTTGATTGGTGTAGAATAGGGAAAATGAAGGCTTTTATAGTAAAACTTTTTGTTTTTCAAAACAAAGCTCAACACAACAACATTCTTAACACAGGATTTTGACAAGTTCAAAACCTATCTTTAGTATAGCCACAACTGTTTTTCATTCAACAACATCGATGTCAAACAAGCTTGGCTAAGAATGTTTTAAAATGTGTGTTAGAAAAGCTTATTAATTTGTCATACGAAAAAAGTGTTTTTTGTTGATAATTCATACATAACAGACATTCCATTTTTTAAAATTATTTTCCTATACCTTCCGAAAATCTCCAAAAAATTTTTCTTCGTTTTTTTCTTCTAACTAATTATCAATTAAAAATTTTTTTTAATAAATTTATTTTGAGAACGGCGGCATTTCCTTCTGTTCATCACTAATTATATGCCCTAAGGCTAGCTAAAGATTCATTTATATTTTCACTAATCTTATAAACTTTCGCAAAGCCTTTATAATCTATTATAAATAGGACTTGTCCCCGACCTAATCTAACGAGGATTTTTAAGCATTCCCCGTCCCCGATGTTGTTTTTGAAAATGTTTCCCCGACTTATAATTAGTATGTAGTACAATTATTATTACTCTTTAGGGATGTGAGGGGTTGGGGATTAGGCCAATGTACCGCAAGTTCACGGTACCGCAGCTGTCGATCCGCGACGCTCTGGTATGGTTCGATGCAACTCGACGAGCCGAATCGAATCATACTGGGGCGTCGGTTCGACAATTCTGAACAAAGTTATCTTGGGATGTGCCCGACGTGGTCAGGTCGGGTTTGGGATTTTTTTCCCATATTTGAGATCTTTTCCCATATTTTCCCTATATTTTTCCTTCCTTTTTTTCCTTCCCTTAACCCCTAAAAAATAATTTTTTGAATAAAATATGCTCCTTTTTATGCTTGTAAATCTATTAATTTTCTCGTCTCTTCTTTCTTTGAAAAAAAAACTTTTTTTGTTTATTATCTATCCGCGGTTATCATCAAAAAAATATTTTTTATAAATAATTATCTAATAATAATAATTGGTTTATTGGCTCTCGTCGGCATTTCTTTCAATTTCTTTAATATCATTAATAATAATCTATTTATTTATTATGGGTATCTAATAAATATATGTATATTAAAGGCCTTTCAAAAAGTTAAAAAGTAGCTTGCTTTTCAAAAAGAAAATTTTTTCTAAATTTTCAGAAGCATGCTTCAGAACATTCTTAAATTTTGAAATCTGCTTCTGCTTCAGAAAAATTTTAAAAATTTCTCTGAAAAAAAATTTTCTTTTAAGCAATTTTTCTGCTTCAGAAGAATTTTTTAAAAATTTTTTGAAACATGTTTCTGAAACAAAAACTGAAATCAGAAATAAAAAAAGACATGCTTCAATTTTAAAATCTGCTTCAGTTTCGGAAGAATCATATAAAAGTTTTAGAAGCATGTTTTAAATTTTTGCTTCTGCTTCAAAAAAATTTAAAAAAATTTCAGAAGCATGCTTCCACTTTTTTCATAAATATGTAGGTAACTTTTTGTTTACTACCCAATTTTCTTTCCAAAAAAAATCTATTTATTGTAATAAAATACCTTTTTAATATCTATTAAAATAGTCTTTATTCACTAAAAATTTTTATTTTTATTTACTTGTTGTGGTCATTTTATAGGGGGGGAAATTGATGGAAGAGAGAAAAGATTATTTATTAAGTGATCATCTCTCCTCGCGCACGGGCGTACTTTCTCATCCTTTCTATAAATTTAAGGTATTAAAGGATTTTGTTTTTGGAATATATTAATTGTTTTTGATGTTTTCTAATGTTTTTGGGGGAATTTGAAGGAATTAGAAATTTTTTGGATTTTTTTTTAATTTTTTGTTTGTGTTTGTTTTAATGTTTGTTTTAATTTTGGGGGAGCTTTGCTTCTGCTTCCATAATTATTTTAATTTTTTGTTTCTGATTTTATTTTGTCTTATTTTGTAGCAAATTAAATCCTCTATTTAACAACGTAAAAATAATTTTTTAGAAAATTTTGTTTGTTGAGTTGTTTGTTAAGTCTGGCATGTTCCCACTAATATAGGGAGTGTAATCACTTTGCTTCTGTTTCCATAAGTATTTTAGTTTTTTGTTTCTGATTTTATTTTCTGTCTTATCTCGTAGCAAATTAAATCCTCTATTTAGGAACATAAAAATAATTTTTTTTAATTTTCTTTTTCGAGTTATTCGAATTTAAGTCTGTTGCGTTCCCACTAATATTTATACGGAGCATCATGCTTCTGCCTCCATAACTATTTTCTTTTTTTTGTTTTTGATTTTATTTTTTGTCTCATTTTGTAGCAAATTAAATCCTCTATTTAACAACGTAAAAATAATTAAACAAAAAATTTTCTTCGAGTTATTCGAGTTTAAGTCTGACGCGTTTCCACTATTATAGGGAGAGTAGTCATCTTGCTTCTGCTTCCATAACTATTTTATTTTTTTGTCTTAAATTATAATTTCTATTTTATTTTGTAGCAAATTAAATCCTCTATCTAACCACATAAAATAATTAAAAAAAAATTTTCCTTCCTTAATTTATTTGTATCTAAGTCTGACGCGTTCCCGTCTAAGTGCCATCCTTCATAACTCAAAAACTATTAAGCCTATAATTAAGCTGATTATACCATTAGATAGAGAAAAAAATTAGCTACAAAACTTGCTTTATTTCAAAATTTTTTGATTGATAAACAAAAAAGTTATGGGCAAAAGACTGACATTGTATTGAAGAAAAAGTCGAATTATAGTTGAGATTACACCAGAATTTTTATAAAAAATTAATTTAAAATGCTGATTTTGATTTTTTATTTTTCTCTATTTATTTTATAAAATAAAAAATTTTTTTAAAGCACAAAAAATTAAAAAAAAAATTTTTTTTTTGAATTATTTTTTAAAAAATTCCGCCCTACAAAACTAGGCGTTCATTTATTTACACTAATTTCTCTTCTCTTCTCTTCCAACTTTTTTTTTAAATTCTGATTTCTGATCGCTTCTTTTTGCTAAAAACAAATAAAAACTTTGTTTAAACCCTATAATTTATTTATTAGCTTGCTTTCCAACTTTTTTTCTAATTAATTTTACTTTTGATTGGTTTAATTTTAAATTACTGTAAATCAAGCTAATTTAATTTCGCTTTACTTATAACTACACCTTATTTACTGATACACCTCTATTTAAAATAAATTTTTCTTAATTTGGTCGATCACTAGATGAGGCTACCCCCCTCCCTCCCAATTAAGAGTACCTTGATACACCTCTATTTAAGATAAATTTATTTAAATTTGGGTTGATCTCTAGATGAGGATACCTCCTAATCAGAATTACCTCAATTGTAAAGCACCCCCTCAGTGACTTTATGTGATGTCCCGACTGGGTTTCTAGTTCCAGACTCAATTTTTCTTTCCTTTCTTAGTCACCTCGTCACAAGTAGACTTAATAGAACACCTCTATTTCAGCTACATTATGCTAAATAGGGATGGTCACTGATTTCAAGATCTGTCTAAGCGATACCTCCTATTTAATAAACTTCATTATAGGGTGCTTATTTTTTGATCTTGAGGGTTTATCTTAACGTGATGTCCGGCTCTATGTAAACCCCACCCTTCTATCCCGACTCCGACCTTTTAGTCTCTAATAACGAGAGTTGATGTTATAGAGGTAATTTTTAAACAATGTACATTCTTCCTTCCTTCTTAGTCATTAAAATAGATAAACAATTACTCAACTCAAAGTTGCTTTAGGCAAGAAACAAAAAACAAAAAAAGAAATTATTACATAATTAAAGTAAACATTCCCTTGTTCGCCGGATATAAACAAAAATAACAATGTTTTAAATTAATAACTTTGACTAATCCTTTTCTTATTTCATTTCCTACTATTTGTTTGTTTTTATTTTGTTAGTCTCGTTATTTTATGAATTTTTTTTCAACTTTTTTAACTAGGGGAAATGGATGTCTGCTAGGTGAACTGACCAAACTCTAAATTTTATACCTCTTGAAGTTGTCAATATTTTTAAGAGTTTTTGGTGTCATTCGATAGAGAATTAAATTCTCTATAAAATTGCCAAAAATCAGAATTTTCTGATTTTATAGAGAAAAGTTATGACCAGAAAACTAACCTTTTTCTGAAAAAAATGACACATTTTAGTTAGTTTTTTGCTCATAACTTTTGTTCTATTTAATCTAAAATTCCAATTTAAATTTTCTTTTGTAGCCAATTTTCTCCTCTATCGAATGGTACCAATATCAAAAATAAATATTTATTAATTCCAAAGTTATAGGATTTTAAGTTTGTGTGGTCCACCACTTCGTTAACCCTTCTCCCCTTTTATTAATTTTTCCATTTTTTCTGATTTTTTCTTCTCCCTATTTCTTCCGTTCACATTTTTCTGATTCCTGACTTTTCTTTCTTTAAATCTCCAATTTTACAAAAACACAAATTATTTTTACTAATCATTGTCTTCATTTTCCTTCCCATAATCATCATCATTATTCTCCTTTACCTTCTCCCTAAAAACAAAATTGGCCTTCCGGTGATGACTTGAGCGGAATAATTAGCGTGGGATTGCATCTTTTTAGGACACTAATGGTTATATAATGGGGATAGGATGGTAAAGGTATTAGAGTCAAAATAGGGAGGGGGGCATTAGGGTCTTCCAAAGGGATTTTATGGGCAAACGACGAAAATCAGAATTTTTGATTGAAAATTAAATTGGGGGTATCGTCCAGCAAAAAAATCTTTGTTTTCTGATCTATGATCAGAATCAGAATCAGAACCGAAAAAATCAGAATAAAATCAGAATTTCTGATAATAAACAACCAATTCTGGAAAGACTAATTTCCCTCTATAAGACACCTCTATCTAAAATTCTGATTTATTCTGATTTAAAAATATTTAAAAATCAG